GGTAGAAGTGAATCATTTACTGCTTGCAAACCAATGACAGTAAGATGATGTTATGGGGTAGGACTGGATAAGTCTGACTTCTTCCTACTCCATTCAAGCATGTATAAGCAAATTGATATTGGATTATGTGTAAAATTATGTGTGTTGTCATATCAACTGTTTTTACATGCTTGAAAGAATAAATCAAATCAAATCAAATCAAACTAGTGAGCTTTCATTAATTTGGTGAATTTCTATGGAGCCTTTTTGCATGTACCCCTTAAAAAATAGTATAGTGCATTAGTTACAAAGTGTGTGTGTGTAACTAAATTGGAAATCGGTGCAAAAAGACTTACACACTGCTCCGGGTCATTGCCCCGGTGCTGTACTGGTTAAATGGATATCTGTGATGCAGCAGCCACACACCCACACAAACACAAGTACATAAAACCTCTCGATTTCATCTGCTGAGCCCCTCAGACAGGAATGATGTGTTTGTTCTTTAAAACACTGAACTTACTTGAGCTGCTGGAAAAACATGAAGGTGGCAGTCAAATGAAAACATTTTGTTAAATTAAAATCAGACTAATTAATAGTAGCATGGAATGTGTTTACAAGTGATAATAGTACAGACTGCTACAAATGATCACCTAGGGTTAAACTAAAATAATTTAACATGCAATTTCATTCACTGATTGTTTAATAAAAGTTTAAAGAAACAAAAAATGCCATGTTTAAATCTCAGAACATGTTGTAACAAACATTTGAGCATTTTCTGAAATTTCATTTTATACTTCATTACACTTTGACATGCTGTTTGCCTTGAAAATGCATCATTATGATACTTAGAGGGACATACCTCCAAAATAAACTTGACATGCTCCCTCTACTTTGAAATATACAGCAGCTGTATTAAAATGCTGCAGTTTTACATGCATCCATTTCAACTCTATGACAATTAAACAATAACATCATATTCCTCATGACAATCAGTATGTCTGTGTTTCGAGCAGCAGGCCTGTGACCCCACAGTCCCTGTGAAACCAATAGATCAATCAAGGGTTGGCTCTTTCCTCAAAGCCAGCACCCTCAGCCTGAATCTCAGACTGCACCAGTGACTGTGCTCTGTGGTAAACTACTAGACTGGCTATCCAGAGCGATTCTTACATGTGAGTATCTGCATATGTGCAGCCTACCCTGCCCTTGAAACAACACCCTGAGGTGTTTGCTGTGGGGAACAATGTGCTTATGGTAATCTTGCTCTGCTAAACCAAGGCTGGCTGCTCATGACAAAATCGCTGCTGAACAGATCTAGAGGCTCTTGTTGGCATCTTTTTTTTACGCTTGGTTTCTTACAGTTGGGGAGTTTATATATAAAACACAAAGATGAGTCATAAAATGCAGGTAGCCTAGATACTGCAGATCTTCAGGATATTTGCTGGCCATGGGAGCTATTGCCTTCCTGGGTTACATGCCAGGGAGGCAGCAAGCTATGTAATATGTGTGGTTGCCCCTGGCAACAGCACTGCTAACTGCACAAATATGTATATTAAATGAGAGCATCAAATATTTTGATATTATAAAGGTTAACATACGAATGCATTTTCATGGTCAAGGAACTTGTAGGATTATAGACCTAAAATCATGCTGAGTGTGTACATGAACAAAGAACTGAGAATGATGTAATACTCTAGTCCTCTGTGTGAAGTCTGCTCTAGCTGGATTGAATCGTTATGATTAAGTTGCTCTTGTCATAAACACAGTTTTCATAAGTAACCTAGAAATGAGTATGACCAGAAAGGAAACTGTTACTTTGTTGTTGATAATTCAGTTTTAAGAAAAAAGAGGAATGAATGAGGGGTTTCAAGTGGACTGATTAACAAAGGCATTTTCTGTGCAGTTCAAAACTAGGAAGCTGTGGTCACTGTGTCACACATACATCAGCGGTCATTACAAGTCAGCTGTCATGCTGACTATGAACCCGATGTTCCTTCACTACTCTGAACCCCAGTGCCTGCTTGAATAAAGAATCCCCCGGCCCAGACTATTATCTGCTTCTACGGCTCCTGTGTCATCCGTGGTGCTCGCTATTTAAAGAGTCTGGGTTGATGATCTTGAAAGACACACTGACATATCTCCAGTTACAGAGGCCAGGCTGTGCTGCTGTAATGCTGAATGGCTACGCGTGCCCAGCAGGCAAGCAGCTATGTAAATTGAGTTTCATACTTATCAAGTAGGCCAGCAATGGTTGGTGGCACACTTTTGATACTAGCAGCCAGTGAAGAGGCAAACAGGAGACACTGTTTGACATGAAGCTGGTATTTATCAAGCTTCTGAAATAACTGTCTAACAAAAAACTCCTTTTTAATGCACATCAGTGCAATGGAAAACAATCACAAAAGCCCCTCTTTAAGTTCAGCATGCTGATTAAATTATCCAGTTATCCATTTGCTCAATAATTCTAATGTAGTGTTAATGTAGTCTGATTCGATCTGCAGGCTTTTTTTTTCAAGTTTTTTGTCTTTTGCAGGCAACCAGGTGTTGGTTCAGTTCATATGTTTTGTCTGAATGAATTAATATTTAGAATTATACTGTGAATTCCATAACCTTCTGTGGGTAAAGGTCACTGCTAGTGTGTTAGGAAGTCACACCCATGTTCAGTTGGCAGGAAAAAAACTACTGACTTTGATAGCAGGATGTATTTTTACAGGGAGAGGATGATCTAAAAATTAGTCTCTTCTTCTTGGAGGGTTAGGGACAGTGACTCAGTAAGGGGAATATTCATATGACTTTTTTAAGGTGTCACCCAGTGACTCAGCTGGAACAAAATAGCTACCTGCTGTTGCTGTGGCTCAACCGTGGATCAGCTGAATTTAACATCTGAATGAGATTCTTTCAATAGAAACGATCAAAGTAAAAGATTAGAGCTCTGGAACGTAGATGCTAAGCCACCACAATGGAAACTATATTGTTACTTTTTTGTGTGAGCCAATTTGTTGTGATCAATATTATGAATGTTGCCATCACCCTAAAGCCGATTTTATCAGTTCAACCATCTACACACTGTTCATACGGAAACTGCAGTAATATGCACTTTGCAGCTCCAGGTGCATGGAAGGTGATGCTTGCCAGAGGAAGCACAAGAGTCAGTTTTGCTCTGCTACAGACTTCATAACACAACAAGAATACATATAGTGTTAACTTTGACTCCTGAGTTTCATTTTTGTCTTAGTCTTTAAAATGTATATCAATATTAATCCAAGTCTATAGTTAGTTTTAGTCAACATGAGTGATATTTGTGTAGCAAACATCTAGTAGATGGTTGTTAAATTATCTTTTTATAAATATCGGCCTCCTGCCTGTGTGTTCCTAGTTTGTCCAGCTGTTGTTTTTGCATCTTCTTGTCTAATTCTTAATGAACTGTATATCAATTTAGTCCATAAAACCATTTCTTCCAAGAAGATGTGACGTCAGATGACAGAGAGACAGATCAGAAGCCACCAGCAAAACATATGTATAGTTTAGTTTTAGTCTTGTTGGTTGTCATGAAAAATATTTTTCATCAGTTTTCACCGCTCTACAGCAAGAGGCCGACCTGGTTAATGTAGCAGTATATTGATGAGATCGTGTATGTACAGAGCAATGGCAGGAAAGGCACATCCTCACTGACAAACAGGTGAGAGGCAACAGCTGGGCTCTGGTTACTTACGTCTGTGTCGGGCCCCTTATCAGCGCCTGGGCAGCAGAACGTGACAAATTCATGGCACCTCTTGTGGACCACAAAACAGCAAACTGCAAAGGGGAGAAAGAGATGAGAGGAGAGGAGAGGAGAAAGATGCAGAGAGAGAGGGAGAGAAATTATGGAGGACAGAAAGATGGACAAAAAAAGAGAGAAAGAGTGGCATTGTTTTAATACAGTGCATCATCGTGGATGGATACTGTATGTAGACAAACAGCAGAAGGAGACAGAAATTTGATAACACTGAGAAATTCGGAAAAAACAACAACAACTGATGTCTGGGCTAGGCTCCTTATCATGCGTCCAGATGGCCAGGCCTGCCTGCAGGCTGACTGCTCTTATTGCACAGAACAGTGCCACCTCCTCACTGACATGACAGGATCTGAGCAGACACCACACACTCATATGAAGATGACCAACATCTACAAACTGACACAAACGGCTGAACATGTATTCATATAGAATACACATCCAGGCCTACACTCATGAACAGACCTGCACCTACACACTGTCGGGGCACACAGTATCGTTCTTATGGTCTGCGTGCCAGGTCACTGACGGCACAGTAGTGTGCAGCCAACTCAAAGAGGAGGAAGGTGCCTGTTACTGGCTCTCAGGAACTGACTGACACCAAGATGAGACAGGATGGGGGGGACTAATTGTGTGAGCCGGCTGGCATAAGTAACAAGAACTGTACACTGTATTCTCACTGTTCTGTCTGTGCATGCCCAGGCTCATTCTTGTTCATCATAAATGTATCTAGATAAGTGTTACAGTATTTCTGCTCCTCTCACCTGAAACACTAAACTACCCTCACCCCCACTTGCTGCGAATTAATGTATTCAAGGCTAACACTTGTGGCAGAAGGTGAAAGCATCTGAACTGGTGTTTTTCTCAAGTCTTCACTTAGCACTGACTAACCCCAAGTAGGCTCCTTTAATGGTTTGTGTACATGCATCCAGCTACACATCACCTCTCTTCTTTCCACTGTATTCCTTTCAAACAGCTTCATATGAACATAAATAGCCCAGTACTTAAGCTGTGATGGCCACAACAGAAAAAGCAAGGAAATATAACTGACTGACAGATGATCAGGTAGCATGTCAAAAGATGATGGCATCATAATCAGACTCCTATAAATATGTTTTACCATTATTACCCACACCATTCAAACTCCTAGTCCACTCATGGATTATGTTTTGCTACCAGCTAAAAAAACATTATGTCCTCATTCAGTCTAAATGATGCATGCAAACATAAACTGAGTAATGAAAGTGCTGCTGTTAAAGTTATGCTTATAATTTTTGACACTGTTGTTTTTGGCATGAGTTAAACCCTGTATATCCATCCTCCATCTGTGCTGTCACAGAGCTGCCTTCCCTAAAACCATGAACAAAGACAACTATTTCTGTACCAAAGCACATATGTGTAATACTTGCCAAGGTCATATCCTGCATTAAAACCTTATTCAATTACACTAGAATGCTGCTCATAAACTAGGTTTGCATGGCATGCTAATGTGCATAAGTCATAACTCACAAAGAGAATCATTTCTGTCTCCTCAAAGTGCACTTTGCAACCACCACATACTTTATATTCTGCATACATGGCTGCATATCAGGAAGGTTTATGTATATAGTTTACTGTAGATTATAAAATATACAGAGCTACTGATCATCAGGTTCAAATCAAGCAAATATCAAAGGCGAATGATGCAGATATTTTTTTGTTCCTTTCATATTCTCCATTACCTCTACGTTTTCCTCCAGTGTCCATAACTTTGGTGCTACATTTTCCTCTGGTAGGTGACCAGCAGCAACATTTGTATAGCTATTGTGGCTAGTTGCTGTGGTGTTTCAGCTGTTCCTTGTAAACATGTTTGCAGCCTCATTGATGGATAGTAAGGCCACGTTCAGACTGAGTTTCAAAGGTGTGAAGAAATGTAGTGCTCTTCATTTCTATGGGGGACTCTGTTCACCGCCGCCGGCACCAGCACCGGAGGGGGCTCCTGCAAAACAATGCAGCCCTGTGTGGCAAAAAGTTGGATCTGGTTCAAATTTTGCAGCACTGGATGGTGACATCATCCAACAAGGCTCTGCATTGATCAATCATGTATGAGGGACCATCGGTAGGTGAACGCCCACGGGAAGAAGACTTTGTTTTACTTGTTACCATAAACATTCACTGCTATTCACTCTATATCTGGGCCACAGTTAATGCATGTCATGCGTTTTCATTAGTTGGGGTACTGGATGTTAAATAGTGTTTTTTATCTACACAGCTGGTGGTAAAACACAACAGACTCCCATGGGTTTGGCTTCAAACTTGATTGTACCCACTCACGTTGACTCGTCACAATGTGGCAGTATCACACATGCCTACAGCACTACCCCTGCAACCCATCTCCCCCTGACCAAAACAGTAAAGAGACAAGAGGCATTTGCATTTTGCCACACTCAGTCTGAACGCCCGCTAAGGAATGCATTGTTGGCATTCTGCTTGTTGTTTGCTATGTGGGTGGCAGCCACCCAGGCTGAAGCGTCACGGTCAGTTATTGGGTCAACACCAACAGTGTCTGGATTTCATCTCCAAATACCATACAGGTTACACAGGTGAAATGTCTTTTTGAGCTAAAGACTATTAGAAGATCAGCTTCAATAATATCATAGCTAAGTGCATCATGAATATTTGATTAATATGGCTTGCAACAGATGTATCTGGACATTTGACACTTTTTAAAAACTTGGCAGGAGTAACCGAGCCTGTGCCAGTTAACTATGGGCATGCGCTTCTCTGGATCAGGAATGCTCTTTATCTCTGACACCATGGCTGCATTCACAAATATTCACCCAGTAGCTCCAGCTGGAGTGGAACACATTATAGTAGTAGTTGTTGTTGTTGTTGTTATTGAGATAATCCACTTCCCCAGCCCAGATTTCACAAGTCAGGGGTGCGGTAACTGTGGCCACAAGCCAGCTTCTCTAAGTGTGCATTCAATACTTTGAAATTAAAACATAAATACATGTGGTAGTTTTGCCTAAATTAGAATAAAGGCAAGATTATCTTAACAATATGATCACTTCTAACCTAGACATACACTGTAAAAAACAATAAAGTCAGGGTTGCCAGCATGTTGGTAGTATGTTTTATCCACTTACTTACTTCAATGACTGCAAAACAGAATGACCCACTCACACAGACATATCACACCACCACAGCATCATGCTTCCTACAGTATTAGTAGTCAGCTCCAACACCGCCAAGCAAAAAGCCAGATGGGTCATTAATGTCAATGATGCAGTTCCCCCATAATTCATCCTACAGTACAGTAAATAACACAGAGCCCACCTCCCCCAGATTCTCTCTTTGAACAACAAAAAGGCTAAAGGGATACATGAGATGTTACAGAGAGTACTGCTAATACCAAAACGCTGTGCTTGTCGTTTTACTATTGATAGAGTCTGAAGTTCTGCATGGGTTGCACATTTTCTTGTCCATTTAGGAGTCAGTGCTCACCAGCAGCAGTCAGTGCTCCTACTGTATCTACCCAATTGTTCTCCTGTTTCTTCCAAACAAAGCAGTGGGTGTGCTGCTCCGTGTGTTTAATGCATCACCTACTTTACAGCGGTGGATGTCTCCTGCAAGAAGCCTACCAAAAATTCTATTAAAAAAAAACGTACTCAAAACGTTTCCATGAACTGGGCATAAACCCAAACGCTGATTTATGTGCTGAAGAGGTTCAACAGAAACCATTTCTTATTTCAGTTAGCAGTTAGCTCAAGTCTATTTTACTTTGGCACTCCATGGGTACTTCAAGAACGGTTTCTGTTTTATTTTTTCAATTCCTGCCTCTATGCACAACCCTACTGCTCAGGTTAGATTGCCCAATCCAAATACCTATATAGCTGTGTTTTCTAGTCTAGTTTTTGTCTGGGACAACTGTTTTCTGTAATATAGAAATGATTTCTCCAGAGATAAATGGAATTGGCTTGGCTTGTTGGTAGACTGTAGGAGACAAAGAGAAAGAGGGAGAAGGTATAAATGTGAGATAAAGAGGCAGGGCTGAAGACAAAGCACAGGTCCAAGCTCGACATCCCCTACTGTTTTTATTAGGGCGTTGCTTCTTGTGAACTCCTAGTGGTCGTTTTCTGGGGCAGCAGATATAGGTTCATCACATACATCACCTTTGACGCCACATTAGAGGAGCAAAGCCCATTGGGAGGCAAAGGCGCCAAGATAGGTTCACTGTAATTGCATTATTGTCTTAAGATAATGTACTATATATTTCAGCAGTGGACAGTGTTGAATAGTCTGTTCATTAGGTAAATTTATCTTTGCAAATCAAGAGGGAAGCTGCTGAGCTACAATACTTGTAAAGTAACAAAATAAAAATGGCTGCCACACTGAGGACATCAGGGTGCGGTGAGTCATTTCCTATTAAAAGTTGTTGCTGTTAAGAGCAGGGACTTTGGGGAGTGGCAATCTATTATAAAGCAATTACAGCTCACAGAGTCATGTAAGCATAGAAGAACCTTTTTTTTTTAAAGCGTGCAAGAAATGAGACCTTGTTGAAATGAAGTGTTACCTCTGACAACACCTTTGAGAGAGGAAAGCCACACAGCTGTGGTGTTTCTAGTGGGTTTGCTAGGGTAACTGCAGATATTTGTCTGCTGCTGACCTTATAATTTCTATACTCTTTGGACATGAAAATTATATAGCAAGTGAAATCGAATGAGGGTTTTAAATCAAGTACCTTCCAGCACAACACACAAAAGATAACATAGCCCAAAGTCATTCCTTCTCCCATTCAGGCAAATCAATTTCCTCCAAATCTTTTTCAGGAGCAATTTCCTGATATTTTGTCTTGAATATGGGCAGGAAATGAGAAAGAGGGGATGATTTCGTATGTAGATGAGATTCTTTTTTCAAAGTACCTCAATAAAACAATGGAACTTAAGGGGATAAAGTTTTCTGTAATATAGAAATGATTTCTCCAGAGATAAATGGAATTGGCTTGGCTTGTTGGTAGACTGTAGGAGACAAAGAGAAAGAG